TTCCGTCATTTTTTAAATTGCACTGCTGAAAACGTACTTTCTAATTTTACTTTTAGCCTGTAAAGTTGTAATGGCAGAAGCTTTTTCATGCAGGTTTTGTTACAGTTCTTTATTAAATAGATATAATGATAACTTAATATCTATTTGTTCAAAAATAATAAATGATAATCCTGGTATAGTTTCAGACATCATTCTGGGTCATGACTTCTTTTCACGCCAGGTAGTAAACTTCTCTATGTTCTATTATGTTTATTATTGAATAAATTTCGCGCCTTTTTTCTAGATAAATATTAAAAATGAAATTGTTGCTAAATTTAAATGTGGATCTTCGGCAAGCTTAATAGAAATAATGACAGAAATGTGAAGAATCTTTTCGAGATGTCCTAAGACAATACCTTTAAATCTGACCCATATGAGACTAAAAATAAATCTTGATATTGAACGATTGATATTCAGTAAAGTTTTAGGAGTTACTTTACGAACATATGGCTCATGTGATCAGTCATGTGTAGTCATGTTTGCCTTCAATTTTCATGTTGCGCGCTTCTATGTAGGACAAAACAGATGGACAAAATCGGTATCCCCGTATTTCAAAAAAGCACTAATAATAATCTCAGCATTAGTAATAATTTAAACGTATAAATTTTAGAATAAAAATATTTGACTGCATTTGTTGTTTTCCTCACCCTTTTTCTTCCTCTTTCTAAAATTCTGTTATGGTTTCTCAGTCACATTTGTCGTAACTGTCTGATTCCTAGCAATCTTTCTCTCCATCTTGTATACAGCGCTACTTATGCAATATTTACCGCGTATAATGTTAAGTCATTTGCTCTCATTTTCATATAAGCAGGAGTGTTCGTAAACAAAGTTCTTCGTGACATTCCATGTCTTTGAGGTAGCTCAGTTTTCCTGTTTGATTGTACAGTTTGCCTTCAATTTTCATGTTGCGCGCTTCTATGTTCTCGATTCCTGAGACATGCATATAAAGTTCCTGTACCCCTCTTTCAAAGCTACTAGTTCAGGGTTCTCAACCAGGGTGTTCATAGTTCATCGTTTCAAGAGGGCATTTTTTTAACTCTTAAGTACTTAGTTTTAGTTTGTGAATATAAAAAACTACCTTTATTGAAGTTTTGGTATTTACCATGTACAGATATTAGGTATTTTTGAAGTAGGAGAGATGAAAAATGTGCAATGCCCTCGCTGGGACTCGAACCACGGACCTCTCGAATACACGCCGAGCGTGCTGACCCCTACACCACGAAGGCAGGCTAAAAAAGGCGGGAGAAATACCTTATATACTCCCCCTTTTTTAAAGAGCGACTGGGAATTAGGGGACCCAATCGCCAAATCCTGGTGGTGGAGAATCATCATCCACCTCCATTTTTAGTTCGGGCGCCATTGTAAAGTCATCTAGGTTTTTTTCGAAGCAGTAGATGTGAAAAATGGGCAATGTCCTCGCCATAGACCTCTCGAATACGCGTCGAGCGTACTGACCACTACACCATGAAGGCATGCTAAGAAGGCGAGAGAAATACCTTATAACCAATATGTTTAATACTTTCTCTTGTTTATTATAAAACATGTTTGAAAATAATCTAAAGCTAAATAAATGCACATATATATTTTTCAAGTTTTGGAAAGGGGGTAATAGCGATGATAAAAGGGATGCATCGGGCGAGAAAGGTTGAAAACCAGTGTACTAGATGCTCCCAATGCATGAGTTCCTGTATAGAGTAATAACGATTCTTGCAGAATTAAAATACCGACGATTAACTCATGTACTGAAGGTCAGCAAATAATTTCTTTTTATTTGTGTTTTGTTCTGTCATGGATTTTCCAAACTTACAGACAGCTCCTGTCATTTTCCCCCTCTAAAAAAGGGGGATATCTCAGATATATAAAAAATAACTAAGATCAGGTGAATATCGCAACCTACCTGTTCGAGAAACTCCTCGGTTTGAAGGTATTCAGCCAGCACAGCAACTCATTGCGGTCAAACCTTATCACTATGAACAAAATCCCTTGGATTTATGGGCAGTCTTGCTGGGACACGGTATGTTACCTATATATGAGTGATTACAGAGCTTTTATGATGGACACAAAGCTCGATGAAATGATTTCTCTTTGGTAACTTTCTGTGCAAGTAAAGGGCCATCATGGGAGCAGTATCTTTCAGAATATGGTGGGAAAATGAGCATATAAGAATCTCTAGATGAAAGTACTTTCAAAATCACTACCTAAAATGAAACTGGATTCATTTGTTAACAATGCTTGGGTTACGTCACTTTGACTGCATGGATTATGAAGACGATATCATCTCAAATGTTCTCCTTTAAAAGGCACAGAAAGTGAGATCGAATACAAAAATCTTCTTGTATAAAGACCATGGTAGTTTTATGACTTCAAGAAGCAGTAGATCTACTTATTCAAGTATGATTGACTGCTGAGAATTTCAAGCCAACTATACAGAGGTTGCGTAACGGTTTCGTTGTGCCAGCAGTGTCAAATTTTCAGGTCTTCAGGTACTGCAAGTATTCTCGGACTACCTCGAGCCACCAACAAGCCGATTAACGCTTCTGTGCTTAAAGGTAAATTCTAGATTATTGAGATTAAGTAATTCTCCCACCTTTCAGTATACCTTGTAGAGACATTAGGTATTTTGGAAGCAGAAAAGATGAAAAATTAGCAATCGCCTTCGCCGGGAACCGAACCACAGACCTTTGAAATACCGATGTAGTGTGCTGACCACTACACCACGAAGGCAAGCTAGGAAGGTGGGAGAAATACCTTATAACCTTCGTCGTGTAATAGTAGCACACAAAGCGCGTATTCGAGAGGTCCAGGTTTGAGTTCCGGTGAGGGCATTGCATATTCTTCACGTGTACCTAATGAAGAAATGAGGTTCGAATCCCGCGAACAGGCTGGCTGCATGGGTGTTTTCGTGGTTTTCCCCATGTGCAACGTGTATACGAGCCAGTTTCCTTTAAAAAGTTCTCCACGAAGGCATCCTTCTCTTAAGGCAGATAGCCCTCGAGTGCTTTGCCGTAATCTAATAAACCAACCAAAACCAAAACCTAATGAAGAACTAATGACTCTATAATAACGCTCGAACTAAAAGTTGGTGGACAATAATTCGTCACCACCAGGATTTAGCAACTGGGTGCCCTAATCCCCAGTCGCCCTTTAAAATGGGAAGTGTATAAGGTACTTTCTCCCTCCTTTCCGCAGGCCTTCGTGGTATAAAAGTAGCAAACTTGGCACGTATTTCGAGAGGTTCACCTTCGACTCCCAGCGGGGACGCTGCACATTTTTTACATATCTTGCTTCAAAATAACCTAATGAATCTACAGTGGCGCCCGAACTAAAAGATGGAGGACAATAATTCGTCACCACCAGAATTTGGTGATTATGTCCCCTAATCCCCAGTCGCCCATTAAAAGGGGAGTAAAGTATTTTCTCCCTCATTCCAGCATGTGTTTGCGGTGTAACAGTAGCACACTCGCGCGCGTATTAGAGAGGTCCAAGTTCGAATCGCGGCGACAGCTCATTTTCACATCTCCTGCTTCAGAATAAACTAATAACTCTACAAGATCACTAATTGTTGAAAATATTCATCTCTTTAAAGAATTCCAGCTATATTTGTCTTCTCCGGAGTATGAAGACAACTTAAATTCTCGCCTACATCTAAATCAGGGATCCCCAAACTATTTTGGACAAGTGACCCCTCTTCCAAAATGAACTGTTACCTCAGACCCCCATGGCCACGAACTTGAGACTTAACATTACTACAACAATGCTGTTTCCTACAAAAATATTAATTATTCTTAGTACACGTAACACAACATAAACAATACAGTACCTATCTATCTTGAAAGTTTTAAATAAGAACTTGTGTTAATTTAATAGGAGTCGATTTTTAGACCTCGTCGACCCCAAAATCAGTTTTCGTTTATGTCGACCCCTAGAAAACCGCGGGGTCGATATCGACCACTTTGGGAATCCCGGATCTAAATGATGTCTTTTAAATAGAATTAGCAATAATTGATCTTTTCAAACAATTAAATATGAATGCGACTTCTGGCATGTTTTCTTTCATGATTTTCTCATTTTCGCACATGAGGAGAACACGCAGTCTTCACCCATTTCTTGAGATTAGAAAGCGCTGAACTTTTCGCCTCTTCAGCACTATGTAGCCGCAAGGGATAATGCAAATTTTCAAACAATTGTAGTAATAAACTTTTACTGAAAAATAAATAGAAAATTAAAATCTAGTACGCAATAAGAAATTAAAGTCCTGTGATTTAAATACGATTTGAAATGAAAGGAAATTGAATTTAATTCCGCAAATATCAGCTCCTCGGGAACCCTTGAGAAAAGTAAAATTTCTTATCTCGAGAAATAAAAATGTTCCTGGACATCTTAAATGCTAGGAAAATGTATTTGAAATTTTTATCCAATCATCAACTTAAAAATATAGGAATCGGAATTCTGGACTTCAATAAATATTGTTATGCCTCTACTCAGAAGCGAAGAATAATTTTTCTGAGATTGTATGCACATTTGCTGATTTGATGCGTGGAACAACTGCTGATGTTTTTCCATAATTCTATCAAAAGCGTAAGGTAAAACACTTAAAGTAAAAGCATTTTGTAAGTTCGCAAAGATTCCTGGAATCCCTTTGACCTTCATATAAAATTCACTTTCAATACGGAATCATAATTGGAGTCGCATGAACCATTTACTATTGAGTAAGTTTCTCTCTAAATCTCACTCGTTTAATGAAAACACCTTTCATTTTTAATTCATCTTCATTTTTGTAGATTAAATAGATTTAGTTATTGCATGTAAAACTTGAAATCCTGTAATGCGTCTTTTTGTAATTTAATAAAAGTCATTTAATCTAATTTTTATTAACTAAACTAAAAAGTATAATGTAAGACATTTCACAACAAGAAGCCAAAATTTATCCATATACACAAACGAATTTTTCTTCTTTTCAGTCCTCAAGTCATTCCACCAAGACATCTACTCATCTTACAAATGATGCGCATGATGAGATCTATAAATATGTTCATTCTGAATGCTGTTCGTTCAGCAGACTTCGGACTCTATTCTGCAACTCAAGATCAGAAGAGGAGTTTCGAACTTGTATGGAGGGCCATACCAGACCCTCATATAAAATATAAAGAAATTGCGGTTGACATTTTGAAAGAATATTGCTTTCTTGAGCGACATTATGTGACCAACCCCATGCGCTACGAAAAGAATTGGAAATATTTACTCATGTATGAAAACTGTTTCAAAGACGTGGCTACTAGTCCTAAAGAACCGAGAACTCTAAAACATTTGTGCAGGTGCACTATCAGGAAAAGTTTGAAAGACGCATGGAAGCTTCCAGTAGGAATTTTCCAGTTGAGATTACCAAAAATTCTCCAGGACTATCTTAATCTTGAGTTTGACTGAACAAAGTCCTTTATTGTGTTTTTGAAATCCAGAATATTGTTTGCGAAAACTTTGCTATTTTCAAAGTGAAATATGTTGAAATAGAGAGATCTTATTAATTAAATTGCCTAAAACATTCGAGAGAGCTGCGAGTAAAATAACGATAATATATCATTCTAATAGAATTTAACTTGAGAGTAGTAAAATCAATTTTAAAAATTCTCATAGATATAATAGCTACATTTATTTTATTTAAGTAATTTTTAAGAATGAATAATATTTCTGTGAAAGATTGTATTTAGTATTTTGCGATATTAAGAAATTTACAAGATGCTTATAAGGTATACCTATATTTTATTGTGTATCATTCATATTGTTTGAAACTTAATATTTCCATCAAGTATAATATTGCAATTACAGATATGTTTACCAAAAGCACTTTTATATGTATTTTCTGTTAGAACTTTTTTATTTTCTATCAGATACAAAAAAAAAAAAATTCTTTTTTTAATAGGCAAGACTCATGACGGATTTTCTAGTCATAAATATAACTTCAAAAGTTGTTTAAATTAATTAAAACTGTTTATAAACACTACTTTAAACATTTCTTAGAGCTATAGCAATGTCAATATCTCTTGCGATTGTCAGAAAAGTTATATCAGTGACAGATTACAGCTGAATCATTCATTAATCACCTAAATAGACATCACAAAGTAAACAAAGGTGAAAATAAATAAAATCATTATCAGATGCATTATGCGCATAAAACAGAAGCTTTCCAATATGTGATAATGATATTTACATATAACTAATGAAAAAATATATTTTATCAAAAATATATCAGCTATATCACCATCGCAGTGTTTATTTGATTATGTGAAAATACCTTAAGTTTTGGGAACAGATTTATGTGCGAAATAATTCATATAGAAATACCAGGAAAATTTAAATTACACCAAATGACATAAACGAATTATTCTTTTATGTATTATAATTCAGATTTCGATATAATTCTCATTAAAACACGAAGTATATTGGTTTTATATACAGTTTTTATTTATTTCAATCACATACTGCTATGTATACATTTTATTTTATTATTAGAATGTTTTGTAATTAAAGCAAGCTTGTACATCTCTTAGTTTTATAAATGTATATTAAATAATTTTAAATTTATCTATGTTACAGCTTGATTACTTATCTAAGTTACATCTATGAGAAGCTAAGACATTTTCTTTACTATGCAGACAGTTTTGATGCAATAAATAGGATAATTTTACATTAATAAAATGTACTTTTTATGCAGCATACGAAGATAGAAAATTGATAAATGCAGCATATATCACAAATACACTCCAGCCAATCATGAATCAGTTGTTTTAGATAATTAAAGAATATAAATAACAGTTCAAAATTTACAAATAAACTGCTTTTAATGCTTGTAATAGCAACTAACACCATAACAGAGCGTGTTGCATAAAATAACTAAAACATTAATCTTAATAATGTAAAAATTTTATAATTAATTTTTCATTAGAACTTGAAATAGTATTTAACCTCATATTTACTTTCATTGCTCCATATTTTAACCCTAATTTATTACAAATATATTTTCTCAAAATAGATCAAATTTAATATAAATTACTTATTATCTGAACAAAAGAAACTCATCGATTTCGATTTTTTAACTCTCCTCATATAATGATAGTTTATTATTGGAAACAAAATTTTAAAATCGTCATAAAATTAAAACGTATTGCGTGGTTTGAAGAAATTTTATGACATCACACACACATGATCTCAGTTTGTTTCTAAAGTAACAGAAGTTAACTTGTAAGGTCCCTCACTTGAAATTATAAGTTAATGTTGGAAGTGGGGAACCTAGGAACTGATAAGCGAATAATCGCTAGAGTTCGAAGACAGGAAACAACAAGAGAGAAGGGTAAATAACCCTTTATTATTTCTATAAGATTTAACAAAACTCCGCCTGGGAGTAAACAAATAAAGTCCGCACTTTGGACTTGAACTTAAAAGACTAAGAATTAAACTAAAACTAAGATTAACTAACTAAGTAATAGCCAAAGCTATCAAGGGTTCATGAGAGTTGGCCCCTTAACTTACTTTACTACGAAGCTTAGCAAGGGTAAGAGTACGGCCGAGCGTAAAACAGCTTTGAGAGAGAGAGCGGCCAAAAAGGCAGACGCGCGTAGTTCAGAAACTCTGTTTCTCTCTCTGTCTCAGTAAGTAACTTCGTGGTTTAAATACCGCTCCTTCTCATTAAATATTCAGCAAATTCCAAAACTACGTTCTGGCCGGAAGTAGTAAGTTGAAGTTAAGAATTTGACAGGAAAGGAACTTTAACTTAAAATTTAACTGTTAATAAAATTAACATAATCCTTACAAACTAATTCATTCCACTTAAAAACTGGATTCCAGTTTTTGAAGAAATTAATTTTACTTTTAATTTATCAGTCAAATTCAACTACTAAACAGTCAATCGTCGTTAAAACATTCTGGAAAATATAGTCACTCTATAAACTTTTCTTTCTGAAATCTATAAGCATATATTAATTTAAATATGTTTACTTTCTCACTCAAAATTGAAGATTGTTATGTAATTAACTAAAAGTCTGCTCCAAATATAACGAACTTAGTTTCTCTACATATTGAGTAATTGCTGTATGCTGAGTGATAATGCAATATTCCTAACTATAATGACATTGTAGAATGCAAATGAAAAGCTAAAATATCATATCATTCGCCATTGATGCACTACAAGAGGACATTTATTTATTTTTATATGATAATTCAAAAACATAGATCCCAGTTAATATGCTTTCCAAGTTACGATGTTCAGAAAGTTTCGTGTTTTAAATCAGACTATAAAGCACAAAATTTTAATTCTAATTAATAAAAAATATTAACTATTCTTCATTAAAATATTTTAATGCTATCCAGTGATGTTATCCATTTTCACTAGTCTCAAAATCTTAGCCTAACATTATGCTAATTTAAATTTGACAACATGAATAATCTTTTCATCATTTTTATAATCTTAACAGAAAGTTATGTAGAATACAGGGTGAGTAATATGTTATTGTGCACATCATGCATTGCATTATCGATACTCTTTCTTAATTGGAATTTCAAAAAGAATGAACTCAAAAAAATATTGGCAACACATGTTTCCTTTTATAGCTATATTTAGCAAGATTAGTCTTGCAAGGCAAGATTAATAGTAGAAATATTTAGAGCTGAACCTTTCATCCAAATTATTTCTCAGACTACTTTTATATCGATGAGAGGTAGTGAAATCTATTGCATAATGGGGCAAACGCCGAACACTGAATAAACTGAAGACTGTCACTAAGGGACACATAAAGGTTTGTACAATAATCTATGGAAGTTCAGGAATAAGACCCAGCATGTCAGTATGTGTCTGGAAGTGTATGGCAGCCATTTCAACATCTAGTGCAAATAAATAACTTTATTTTGCAATTTTATCATTATGTGCACAATGATTTTATGATCACCCTGTATTATGTAAGTAAAACACTTTCTAGGAAATTCTCATAGCAGCACTCGTATTCATCCTCGTTGCCTAAATATCAGTTTTTGTTGAATGGGTTCTAAGCCCAGATGAAGTCGTCCATTTAGATCGGCATCTTTACCAAGTGGCAAACTCAGAGTGAATTTCTGGAGGATGGCAGTAAAGTACAGAAATGTTTCCGCAGTTGCAAGATTCTTTCCTGGACAGGATTTGTTACCTGTGTAAAATAATAACTGATTATCTCTTTATTATTAGTAGTACTGATGTTAGTCACTAATTACAAACATTTACCTTTTGTTTTTCACAAGTATTAAAGTATATGAACTTTAAAGTACTTAAGTTGATAAATTCAAATATGTAATCGGAATTTTTCTATCACATGAGGAATTCTATGACAAATAATCAAAATTTATATATGTAATTGTAAATTTATACGTATGTCGAAGAAAGAAATTATATACTAGAATATGGAAGCATGAGATCTTCTGCTAGCATGACCTGAGGCATCTTTCAAAGGCAAGGCAAAAAGCAGCCACACACCATTTGTCTTGAGACAGTTTCTCTTTAATAAAATTTTACGTACTCCTCCTTTTAAAGGGCAACTAGAGATTTAGAAACCCAATGCGCAGAAGAGGGAGAAAATAACTTATAAAGTAACATTGAAATAACTGTAAAATATTACTTTATTAGTTAAAAATCTTTTCAGAGCATATTATGTAAACTGATATTAGTATCGAAGGTACGCCTACAATTAGCCTGCAATTCATTAGAATGATAAGCTGCTCAATCCATTACTGTACAAAGAGAAAAGGCCAAAGAAAGTAGAAATCGAAATTGTTAATTTTTGAAGAATAAAAAAATTATTTTAAAATTATTCCTAATTTTATAGCTGAGAATTTCTAAAAAATTTATTTTTAAATTATTTCTAGTTTTCTAAATGAAAATTTCTAAGACATTTGAATTTATTAATCGTTTTTTATTTATTGAAATGTAAGAATTAAAAAAAATTGCTGAAATCAGTTTTAATAATTTTTTATATGTATTATTCAATTTCCCGATTAGCCGGATTTCAATCCTAAATTAATATGCGATATTGATGTTATTTGGTTTTATTAAAATTTGTGCTATTCATTTTAAAATTCACTTCAAAAGTAATTTAAAAGCATAAAATCCCCGATAATGATACTGTAATTTTCGTTTTAAGCCGTTAGAAAGGACTTTGCAGTTTAAAAGGTGAAGGCTATATTGGGTACTAGAAAAATATTTGGCAAAAATGTAAAGACAGATAAAGGAGACCGAAACGATCAGATTTTGTAATGAAATATATGTGCTAAAATGGGGCGTTGAGGTGATACAAAGCGCTGTGGAGCAGAAGATAAAAGCGATCAGCTAGCGTAAATTATCATTTTCAGAGCGAATTTCGAACAATCGTCGCACACATGCAAAACTCACTGACGTGTAGGCCTGCGGCTAAACGGAATAGTTAATGAAAAGAGGTACAAAGAAAGATTCCGATGTGCCTCCTTTGAGCATCTGCTCCATTTCCATCTGTACCCATGCAGATAAAATGTACATGTCGCAAGCTATGCTTTAAGGTAAAAATGCATATCACTCGGAATTCGCGCGGGGAATGACAATTCAAACCAGCAGAAAACACACACATGATCTCAGTTTGTTTCTAAAGTAACAGAAGTTAACTTGTAAGGTCCCTCACTTGAAATTATAAGTTAATGTTGGAAGTGGGGAACCTAGGAACTGATAAGCGAATAATCGCTAGAGTTCGAAGACAGGAAACAACAAGAGAGAAGGGTAAATAACCCTTTATTATTTCTATAAGATTTAAACAAAACTCCGCCTGGGAGTAAACAAATAAAGTCCGCACTTTGGACTTGAACTTAAAAGACTAAGAATTAAACTAAAACTAAGATTAACTAACTAAGTTAATAGCCAAAGCTATCAAGGTTCAATGAGAGTTGGCCCCTTAACTTACTTTACTACGAAGCTTAGCAAGGGTAAGAGTACGGCCGAGCGTAAAACAGCTTTGAGAGAGAGAGCGGCCAAAAAGGCAGACGCGCGTAGTTCAGAAACTCTGTTTCTCTCTCTGTCTCAGTAAGTAACTTCGTGGTTTAAATACCGCTCCTTCTCATTAAATATTCAGCAAATTCCAAAACTACGTTCTGGCCGGAAGTAGTAAGTTGAAGTTAAGAATTTGACAGGAAAGGAACTTTAACTTAAAATTTAACTGTTAATAAAATTAACATAATCCTTACAAACTAATTCATTCCACTTAAAAACTGGATTCCAGTTTTTGAAGAAATTAATTTTACTTTTAATTTATCAGTCAAATTCAACTACTAAACAGTCAATCGTCGTTTAAAACATTCTGGAAAATATAGTCACTCTATAAACTTTTCTTTCTGAAATCTATAAGCATATATTAATTTAAAATGTTTACTTTCTCACTCAAAATTGAAGATTGTTATGTAATTAACTAAAAGTCTGCTCCAAATATAACGAACTTAGTTTCTCTACATATTGAGTAATTGCTGTATGCTGAGTGATAATGCAATATTCCTAACTATAATGACATTGTAGAATGCAAATGAAAAGCTAAAATATCATATCATTCGCCATTGATGCACTACAAGAGGACATTTATTTATTTTTATATGATAATTTCAAAAACATAGATCCCAGTTAATATGCTTTCCAAGTTACGATGTTCAGAAAGTTTCGTGTTTTAAATCAGACTATAAAGCACAAAATTTTAATTCTAATTAATAAAAATATTAACTATTCTTCATTAAAATATTTTAATGCTATCCAGTGATGTTATCCATTTTCACTAGTCTCAAAATCTTAGCCTAACATTATGCTAATTTAAATTTGACAACATGAATAATCTTTTCATCATTTTTTATAATCTTAACAGAAAGTTATGTGGAATACAGGGTGAGTAATATGTTATTGTGCACATCATGCATTG